GTTGCAACTTGGGGGCGAGAGTGGTGTGGTGGGATGGGAAGAGGGGTGCACGCGGTGGGGGAGCGGATGGCCGGGCTCCATCTGGCCCGTCCGTTTCCGATCGGGCCGCCACCTGGCCAGCGGACCGCAGATGGATATCTATCCACGCCGACCTCGCTCGCGCCCACAGGTGCACAACGCCGACCCAAAACCGCCGAGTAAATTTCTCACTCAAAAGGGGGAAAAGGTTGAGTAAAAGGCATTCAAGGTCATGATTTCATTCTTCTTTCAAAAGTTGTCAAAATGGTTTTATTATTCAGGAATATATTTCTAGGTCCCTTTAACCAGGGTTTGATCAGGGTGTCGCTTCGGCTACCGTCACATCAGCAGGGCGGCGCTTCGACTGCCCCCACGTCACCAGCAGGGGCTCGTGGCGGAACATATTTTGCGCGGGAAGCGTTTGATTTTCTTTTCTTGAAAAAAGGCTCCTCTCCCGATCTCTCTCTCTCTCTCTCTCCCGTGCGCCGATGTCGTTATGCATGTGTGCGAAAACTCGTTTATTAGGAAGCGAGCAAAGAAAAAAAGCTCATTGCCATCGCCTTCACATGCCACGGTACTAGTTCCTCCTCCACCACCGCTATAGCGGGAGTTGTTTGTCGCCGGGGAGGTGCTCATGATGCCAATTCAGGAGGGCCATTTGGCTTGACTCGAAAGCAACACTCTCAAACGAGAATGCGTCTTCTATGAATACCCTAATGACCGGTTTAGAATCATGGATTATTTGAAGTTCAAGTCGAGTTCCATGAAACCCTCAATCCAAAGAGGAGATCATGTGTCAAGTTCACATCCATAAACTGGTCATTTTTGCCATCAATTTATGTCTTTTTAGTCAAGTCCCTAGAATTTCCCACTATTAGTTTCTATGGGGATCAACTCCTCATGAGGCCTCATCGGGAGAAGATATAAAAATATCAGAAAATAAGCTACACACCCTCAATTAAGAAAACATGTAGATGGTACCGACAAAATTGCAACCAAAACCCTAACTTACTATTCCCATGACAAATGTGGGTATGAGTCCAAGTTTGAATCGTCCACACGAAGCAACAAACACATAACCCGGGGTCCAAACAATGAAAGCTAGCCGAGGACGAGATTAGAGTTTCTCTTGTCGTACTGCAGATTAGGATCGCCGACTCGCTGCACTAGGAGCAACTTCACATAGACCGTTTGTCGGTTACTCGCTAGATGATGGCCAATGTGTCTCGATGGAGCAACTACCGACTCCCGCCCTTGGTTGTCTCCGGTTCGCCAGAGCGGCAGGCTGATGAAAATGAGACATACCTCAACCGAGAGATAAATACATTGGGAAGCGGGCTTTGTGACTATCCACGTCTTGCAGCTGGTGCCCCCGCCAACATCTCAGGGGTCAAAGATCCATGCCGGCTAGTCAAGGTGTATGTTGCTGCTTAGATGTTGTTCCTATGTTTTCTCCTTGTTGCTACTTCCAACTTTATTTTGGTATTGTACTGAAGGTTTATGAGTTTGACATTGGGGGGGGGGAGGGGGGGTGTTCCTGTGAGTCCCCTTGGTTTGGAGTAGTCTAGCTCTTGAATCAGAAGAGAGAGTTGCGTCATCACTCTTATGATTCGTCCCCTTGCTCTTTTTTTTTCTTGTTTCCTTTGGTTGTAGGTCTTAGTAGTGTGAACAACTAATGGTTTCTATTAATAGAAATAGGGGGAAATCCCTTTTGCTCAGAAAAAATGTACAATCTCAATTCTTGGATTGGAGTGGGTATATGGATAACTCCGCGTGATGAAGAACGAAGCATGAAAATCAAAAAAATTCCTACGAACACCCAAGATCTAATCTAGGAGATGCATATCAATGAGAGAGAAGTGTGTCTACGTACCTCATAGACCGGAAGCGTTAGCGTCGTAACGCGGTTGATGTAGTCGTACTCTTCACGATCCAACCCGATCTAGTGCCGAACGGATGGCACCTCCGAGATTAGCACACGTTCAGCTCGATAGCGTCCTCTCCTTCTTGATCCAGCAAGCGAGAGAGAGGAGGTAGATGAGATTGGAAACAACACGGTGGGGTGGTGGTGGTGGTAGCAAAGGAATTCTGGCAAGGCTTCGCCAAGCGCGTACCGGAGGAAAGGTGGGAGAAGTTGGGAGGGACGTAGGGCAAGGGTGGAGGTCTGCGCCTGCCCTTCCACCTTTCCATTATATATAAGGGTGAGGGGGAGGGGCGCCGGACCTAGGCCCCTCCTCCAAGGAGGGGGCGGCGGCCCTAGGGGGTGGCTTGCCCCCCATCTTGGCTAGGGCGCCCTCCCTACAGCCCACGTGGGTCCTCGGGGGTGGTGGACCCCCGGAACCCTTCGGTGCCTCCGATATAGTTGCCGGCATGCCCCCCAACTTTTTCAGTGGCCAAAACAAGATTTTTCCACGTATAAATCTTTACCTCCGGACCGTTCCGGAGCTTCTCGTGAGGATTCCATCCGGGACTCCGAACCACCGCTATTAATATGTCAATACTACCCTAGCGCTACCGAACGTTAAGCATGCGACCCTATATGTTCGGGAACATGTATACATGACCGAGACTCCTCTCCGCTCAATAACCAATAGCGGGACCTAGATGCCCATATTGATTCCTACATATTCAATAGAGATCTTTATCGGTTGAATCACAATGTCAAGGATTCAGTCAATCCGGTATTCAATTCCCTTTGTCCCATGATATGTTACTTGCCCAAGATTCGATCATCGGTATCTCCATGCCTAGTTCAATCTCGTTACCAGCAAGTCTCTTTACTCGTTCTGTATACAAGATCCCGTGACTAAACTCATTAGTCACATGAAGCTTCTTATGATGTTGTATTACCGAGAGGGCCCAGAGATATCTCCCCGTCTCAAGGAGTGACAAATCTCAGTCTTGATCCATGCAAACTCAACAGACACCTTCGGAGATACCTGTAGAGCACCTTTATGATACCTCAGTTACGAAGTGACGTTTGATAGCACACAAAGTATTCCTCTGGTGTCGGGGAGTGGCATGATCTCATGATCTAAGGAACTGATACTTGACATGAAGGAAGTTGTAGCAAATGTTGGGGAACGTTGCAGAAAATTAAAAAATTTCCTACGGTTTCACCAAGATCCATCTATGAGTTCATCTAAGCAACGAGTCATGGGAGAGAGATTGCATCTACATACCACTTTGTAGATCGCGCGGAAGCGTTCAAAAGAACGGGGTTGAAGTAGTCGTTCTCGTCGTGATCCTATCACCGGAGATCCTAGCGCCGAACGGACGGCACCTCCGCGTTCAACACACGTACGGTCAGCGTGACGTCTCCTCCGTCTTGATCCAGCAAGGGGGAAGGAGAGGTTGATGATGAAAGCTCCAGCAGCAGCACAACAGCGTGGTGGTGGTGGAACAGCAGCACTCCGGCAGGGCTTCGCCAAGCACGTGACGGAGGAGGAAGAGGTGTAGCAGGGGGAGGGAGGCGCCAGAACTTCAGGGTGCGGCTGCCCCCTCCCCCCTCCCTTTATATAGGCCCCCAGGGGGGGCGCCGGCCCTGGGAGATCCAATCTCCCAAGGGGGCGGCGGCCAAGGGGGGTGGAGTACCCCCCAAGGCAAGTGGGGCGCCCCCCCCCACCCTAGGGTTTCAACCCTAGGCGTAGGGGGTGGGCCAAGGGAGGCGCACCATCCCACTATGGGCTGGTTCCCCTCCCCACTTCGGCCCTTGGGGCCCTCCGGGATGGGTGGCCCCACCCGGTGGGCCCCCGGGACCCTTCCGGTGGTCCTGGTACAATACCGGGTGACCCCGAAACTTTCCCGATGGCCGAAATACCACTTCCTATATATAATTCTTCACCTCCGGACCATTCCGGAACTCCTCGTGACGTCCGGGATCTCATCCGGGACCCCGAACAACATTC